GCTGTTTACCTGCGACAAGAAGTTGATTTTTCGAAAGTCGTAAAACTCAAGTCGCAGTGCGAAGCAACACGTCAAAAACTCGCCTGCTTGATATGGCGCTTCTGGTCATCGCAGAGCCATGAAATTTTGGCTCGGAGTATAACACATAGTAGTCTCACTGTGACATATGTTTTCTAATCAAAATACCAAGAGAGAAAGTGAATATTGAGTCCGTTCCGGTTTGCAACCGGTGTCCTATTTGAAACCGTCCCCTCTACCGTGCATGTGAATTTAGGTTGTATCGAGAGTGCGCACGTCGGGGACCGCGTCGTAGCGAGTGTTATGTTGAGGTTTATGTTATGTAGGATTATGTTGTGTAGAACGAAATTTGTATGGGAGTGATGCTGTTTCGGCGCGGGATTTGATTTTTTTATGTACTAGCGAGGTTTATGTACAAGTGAGAGTTGTTATATCGAGAGCAGACCTGTATTCGAGGACGGTCTTTTATTCTTTCAACCCAGTTTGACCCCGGTCTTCTATTTTTCGCCACACAGTTTTACCCCCATTCTTCCATTTTCTTCTAGACAGTTTGAGCACGGTCTTCTACTTTAATAAAGTCTTTTACCCACAGTTTGAGCACGGTCTTCTGTTTTAACAAAAGTTTGAGACTCATTTAGTAGGCCCGGTCTTCTAATCGGAGACGGTCTTTTATTTTTTCAATCGCCCCCTGCCCCGGCCTTGTATACGAGGAAGGCGTTGTATACGAGGACGGCCTTTTATTTGCGGAAATACGGTACATGTATGTGACGTCTGACCGAAATCCTTTTATTAAACTCTCAAAATAGAAATGAAAAACGTAAAATGTTTGGCACCTATGAAGTCAGGGGATGGCCCACGCTTGTTAAAAAAACAATGAGGAGTTAAGTACAAAGAAAACGAACTGAAAATACAAAAGTAAATGAAACACCATTACCAAAGAAACTGTACTGTATCATGTACACCGTTTATGGCACCAGGGCACATTCAGCAGCCGCCAGCACAGCCGAACCAGACAGATGTCGAGGCGGGTTCCGACGATGACCACGTAGACTGGCAACCATTGCCCGAACAAGGCAAAAGGAGATCTTCGCCCGTACAAAAGCCATCATAACTGGGAAAGGCTCACGGCGCTTTTCACACAGCTTGCTGGCAATCCTGGCGAAGAGGGCCGAAGCAGCTTTCCCCTGGCCGCCAGTGGTTGCAAAAACCACGGGAACAAACGAGGAATACTCCACTTCCAGGACTCGCCGTTCATACTTATGCCTCTTCTCCTGCTCGTGCTTTCTGTAGACAGACGGGAGAGTAAGGTTTCGGTTGGAGGGGACAAAAGGGTTAAACACCCGAACATCAAACATTGTCCTCTCTAACCTACTCCCATACACTCCACGTGCTGCCACATCAAGACGAGCATGAGCCTCCGTGTTGGCCGACCGGAGAGGGAATGTTTCACCAGAGAGGGGTTCCAACTCTGGCTCCACGCTGACGTCATGCGCAACCTCACGCAACAGATTAGCGGTTAGATCCCGGAGCTCGTTGTGGCGCATCCCAGTGAATCCTCCGGTGGCACATGATAGGGCATGGGTGGTGTCGAAGGGCTTTCCACAGGTGCAGTGAGACGGCAACCGGGGAGGGGTCCAGCCGTAGCGCAGACATAGGGCATCCCGGAAGCCAGCCTTGCGGATGGTAAACTGGAACCGGCGAGATGGCCGACTAGTGAGCCAACTGGAGGCACCTTTCTCTGCGGCTAGATCCAGAGTCCGCCTGTGGTCGTCACTCAGGGTATCCCTGAGGGAGGAGAGGGCCATTGCCTGATCTTGGCGATTAGCTGTGCGTTGGGCAGCCTTGGCTGCCTTGGTGGCAGCAACAACTTCCTCGATGGATTCCCTCTGTCGAAGGAGCTGCTCGACTAGAGGTCTGGTGACAGCCGTAGACGTGCCGTACTGCTGGGAAAGGGTCCCTGGGTTTAGAATTCCCAAACCACCATGACGACACGGAAGCGCCAGGATGGCACGTTCTTCCTCGCCGGGGGCCTGGCGACCAGTCAGTGCAGGGAGGAAAACTTGGCTGATGGAGTTTTCCAGCGGTGTCAGGAGGTCCGCGATGGCTGGCATTGTCCTCGCAAGGAATGACCACTTATGGCGGAGATCATGGGTAAGGACAGCGTAAGCAGCCTGAGATTGAGACGCCGCATGTTTGGCGAGGGTCTGCAGCTCTGTGCACCATGTGTCAACCTTCTGCGACACGTAACCGTCGCAGAACAGAGCAGAGCCTTGGGCAGCACCAAGATGACGATAGCCGTCCGTCCGGATGTTAACCCCGGTTGTGGCAAACAATTCTGTTGCTAGCGCAAGATGTTGTGGCTTCACGAGGAGAACGGACTTTGACGGGTTGATGTCGTAACCATACCTGGTGCCTCGATCTACTAGGAAGGACCACCAGGTGCGCATTCGTCGGAGAGCGCCGGCTGAAGTTGCGTCATCGGCATACCAGGACTGCATGGCCCCAGCTGCGGCGGCTTCCCGGATCAGTGGCACTGTGCCAAGCGCATACATTGGCATAGCCAATGGGTCTCCTTGAGTGGTGCCCTCAGAAGACAGGATCACCTCTCCTCCAACATACAGGTGAGCTGGGGAGCGGTATGTGTTGATAACAGCTGGCGCGAGCTCAGGACATAGCCGCTGAACATTGCGCAGGCAAACAGCTCTATTTAGGCGATTGAATGCGTTCGTTGCATCCGCGAACAGGACTCCCTCCGTGTGGTCATCATCGAAGGTGGTCTTCACCGCATGAATGGCGGCTTCCACGACGCACTCTTGCCCACCGCATAACTGCAGACAGCCAACAGCACTCTCTACTGCCGAGCCAACAATTTGAAGTATGGCTTTGCCCAGAATGCGGCGGACGACTTCCCCGATCCCGATAGGCCGAACACCTGGCTGCTTGTCCAAAGGCACTAGACGGCAAGCCACATAAGCTTCCAGTGACTCGGCAGTGAGATGGGGTCCACATACTTGGTAGCTATTCGCCTGGCACAGGTAACCAGAGCATCGCAGAGTGCATCCGAGGCTGAGCGGAAGGAGGTGCAAATCTTTCGCCAATTGGCTGCGTCCATGCCTGAAGGCCCGGCTGCACCATGCGTGCACAGCGCAGCTTGGCGAATAACGTCCCTATTGAGTGCCGTGAAGATGACCGGATGTGGTTGGGGCAGAGGCTCTCCGTCCATAACTGCGTCTTCGTTTAGAGGTGATGCTGCTGGATGCTTCTCTCGAAGAATCTCTCGAGCTGTGTGGTCACTTATGACATTGTCAAGGCGATGCAGGTCGCCCTTACTGTCGCCGTCAAGCATACAAAAAAAAAATACGTGTGGCAGAGCCTATCTTTCCATCCATGACCAAGGCGGCAAACCTCCTTGCTTCACTGTCGTCTTTTGCATGCTCTTCCCTGCTGAATTTGTTTGTAGCCTCTCGTATCTGTTGTTGGATTGTACGAGCTTCAGTCATCAACTCATCGATATCTCCAGTATCCCAGCTCGACAGTCTGCGTTGGAGTTAATCAGCATGCTCTCGGCTGTCTACCATACAATATGGCTGTTGAAGCAGTACCTGTGTAGCCACTATCGCTACCTTGATGGACACGCCCTCGCCTGCCGCTGCATCACCAAAGCACTGGTATAGACGAGCTATGATGTTAACATACTTCTCACCAGTTGCGCCCGATGGGACACTAAACAGATTCGGGCTGAAGTGAACTGCTTCAGCATACGCTGCGTTGATCACCTGGCGGGATGAATCGAGATCAAAATTCCCTATGCGTAGATCACACTCTGCGTTCTGGTAAGGTGGCAAAGGAAAGCGGGGTTCTTCCCTGGGCTCATCGTCCGCCAGTGTCGCTAGGAGAGCTACTTGGCTGTCCGTGACTGTGCCGTGGGTCACCTGATCCTGTACGTGAAGGAGCTCAGGCGAGTCAGCACTGGAGTTAGCAGGGTCTTGTACGGGGGGGGGGGGGGGGGGGGGGGGGGTGCTGTGCCCCGCTAAAGTAGATCTACCTGAGAGGCTGGCTGTCGACGGTTGGAGAGCAGGCGACGGTGGGTTATAGGCGATTCACACGACAGGCAAATCCACGTTTACAGGAAAGTCACCATGGAGATATTCCTGCGGGCGACCAAAATTTGCCCGCGGGAATCAAAAGTGTCCATGGCCTTTTTGCCCGCGGATGCACTCATTTGCGGGCACTTTTACAGTTATGAGGCTGTGAGGTCATACTATCGTACGGTAGTCTTGAACCCTGGTTGTTTGGCCTTCGTCTTTGGGTACTCATTCCAAATCACCACAGTAACGCCGTATACTCACCGGATACTCGCGGGAGCTCTGGCCGCCACCCGCCGCCGTGTGAACTGCAGCCTCACGTTTCACTTCCTGTACTGCGGGCACCTGACAAACGTGGATTTGCCTGTAGTGTGAATCGCCTATAACTATCTTCTGCTGTTGGTCGAGTAGCTGGTTCGAAAACTGGTACGGTACGGGTCACTGACGCTGTGGGCGGTGGTTGTAGAGATGAAGGTTGAGACGGTTGGGATGTCGGGCCGGGTGAGCTGTTGTTTCGGCATCGATTTTTCTTGGATGGGAGACAATTCCTGCATCCTCAACCCCCCCTTGTGGCATTCACACCGGACGCAGGTGCCGCTGCCATTGCACCGGCAGCAAGTGGCACTCTGCATCAGCTGGTTTGCCGGCCTATGCCGGAGCCGCGCTGGAGCCGGAAAATCCACCGAAAACTGAGCCAAGGCACCTGCCAAGGGCAAGGAGTCAAGCCGCAAGCGGGATTCACAGAAGCTTTTTCTTTTGTAGTGGAAAGAATAATAATTATTCTGAATAATCATTTCCTTTCCAAGTGTGACGTCATCCCAGTGATGCTACGTACATACATGATACAACGTGTTTCGAACGTTTTTTGTTTTTGCCGAAACTGCGAAAGAAGGAATTCAAATAAGTTTATTGACATGACTTGCTGAGTTCATTTTCTAACCATGGCATGAGATTGTTGTTGAATGCCTTACCCCACATTCGATTCTTGAATATCGATATCCTTTGCTCTGTTACTGACTAGGAAGGAAGTAGGCTGTTCGGCTTCTTTCTTACGACGGGTTTGCCGTAGTAGTTCATACTCCGAGTTAGCGTCTATGTGTATTTGGTTCAGATGTTTGTTATTCATTGAAGAGTCAGGTCGAAGTATTCAGTGATCGGCCTTAGGGCCACTGTAGTCAGTCATGTCTGCACAACAGGATGGAGGCGGTAGCTCTGAATCCCTTAGTATCGAGGAGACCAAGTAAGAACTGAGAATTTTCAAGCCTTTTTGGAAAATTTCAAATTTTACACTTTCCACTCTTTTACTTTGGGTAGCTTGGCCAAAATAGCAGTCGAATGTTGAAATGTTCTCAAACAATCCCTTCAGTGGCTTGTCTGCATGCCCTTGTTTTGTATCTTGTGTAGTTTTTGTTGTCTTTGTTGAGTTCAACCGATGTCCAAATGATCTTTGGGAGCTCTTGAGTTTCGCTTGTCTTTTGCAAAGCTGAAGGAAAGTATCAGGCTGTAGTCTTCAACTCGAACTCTTGTCATCATGGTCATTCATGTCATGAGCTGTTTTGAAATGAATGCGTAGATTGATTCTATGTCACTCGCTTGATCAACGTCGATAGACTTTATATGCATCAGCTCATCAGCTTTATTTTTTTCCACCTCTGACAAGATTCTTCAATTATGTAGTACATTGTGCATCTGACAAGATCGTAATTTATTTGTACAAGTATGTACGATATTTCCATGGTCCAGAGTAGAACGCATGCGTCTTGACTTCTCATTTTAGAAAAGCGATCCTGTCAGCTTTTCTATTATTTTCTTGTTGAGTTTCAAGTTCTCCTTCCTCCCTAGGCTGAGGCTTTCCTGCCACTATCGCCTATCGAGTAGCTCGAAGAAGTGGTTGTTTCAAGAGTCTGAGATCATTTTTTTTGCTAGTAATCTCTTCTCGAGATTACTGTGTCTTGTCCCTGTTGCCAGTTCGCTTCTGTCCCAGTGTGACGCTTCAGCACACGGTTTTTTTGTTGCTATCTTGCGTGGTGGTACCTGGTGTCGACTCTGCTGCGAAAGATGGCGACAAGTTTGACAGATAGTTGCAGCAAGAATGCATCATGATATTTTTACAGGTTTAGTTCTGCTGTGTTGATTTATTCATAATGTGTTGTCACCTGATCATCTCCTTCTTGTCTTGTGGTCTTAAAATCTTGACTGATTTTGTATTCTTTCAGCAAACTTCGTGCCAAACTTGGATTGAAGCCACTAGAAGTTGAGGACTCTTCAGGTTGGTTCAAATTAGTTCAAAATTAATATCTATGACCTATGGGAAACCGTATTCCTGGTTGAACCGTATTCCTGGTGATTCGCATTTTCTGTACGTGTATTTAGAGTTCTGAGCGAGAAGGTGTTTAGACAAGCCTAGTTCACATTCGACGCAACGCCGATGGTACGGGACGTAAGGGCTTGTTGGGAGGGCTGGGGTGAGCTGTAAAATCCTGTACGATTCGTACGACACGACATGCAGCAGCCGTTGCGACGTTCAACGTCGAACGGCGCGAGTCATACGGCATGGTCCGTGACGGGGTGACTTTCGGGCCAAATTTCTCTTTTTTCGGTACTTCTTTTCAATTATTTCTCCTTGAAAGAAGCGGAATCAAGTTCACAATACCAGTTTTTCATGAAGACCAAACAATTAGCTCTGAAAGTTGTGGCATTCAAATATTAGCCCCAGGAAATGATAGAATAGTTCGTCTGTCACGCTTCTGAACTATCCCTAAATACAATAAGTGACATGACATCTTATGTTGCTACAATTCAACTCAAGTCGTGCTAGCCATTCTGTGAGTTACCATGGGAAGCGCAGTGTTCGAAATGCTAAAAATATCCAAGTACGAATCGGGAGTAGTCGGCGCACGACACCGTCTCCTGTTCACACTCGAATTGCAGCCGTTTTGTACGCTTGCGTCCCCGTCTACGCCCGTCTACGGTATGACAAGTTGGATCGATCCAACTCTTCCCGTCGCTTCCCGATCTGTACGGTTGCGTTCCCGTTCCTGGTGTTCACATTGGACGCCGTCCGATCGTCCCGTCGATCCTTACGTCGCGTCCCGTCGTGCCCTGTCGAATGGGGACCAGGCTACACATTATTCTCGTGTGTACCGTATTTTCCGGCGTATAACGGCCGATTCTCGATACAACTTTTTGCAACGCGACACGATTTTAGACAGTGACGACAAGTCGCGTACAGTCGCAAGGCACCTGTCGCAGAAGTGGAAGAAAGTTCAACTTTTGCGAGGCGCGACGTACACATTAGTGTACAGTTTCTACTTTGGGTGCACGTGCACAGTACTACTAGTGCATAGGGCCGTCGCAAACACCAAAAAATATTGTGAACCGTGTTTCGCTGTCGCATGTCGCGTCGCAAAAAGTTGCATTGTTAATCGGCCTTAAGCCGCACCCAGATTTGTTGTCGTGAAATACGCTTAGAGTTGCCCTTTCTTTTATTTTTAGATGAAAGGTTTTGGTTTCGGAGAATTTTAGTGAATCGCTTGTTTCATATGAAACAAAACATTGGACCGGCTCTTAGAAGCGCAACTTGAATCATCAAAACGAAGAGTTTAGATTCCAGACGCGATATGTGTGGGATTTTGGATTTTTTTCACGTCTGTGTCATCAAGACTTCATTCAGGTCTTCACATTCAAAACCCGGACAGAATAGAGATTTTCTTTGGAGGTTAACGGTGTATTTCATCGTAGCAAGTGTCCACAGTGTTCAGTGTTTTCATGCTACGTTCTGGTCCGTTCTCATTCCATCGTGCAGGGAAAGAGTCGACGAGCGAACGCAAAGATGTTCACCGGCCTGCTAAGAACATTCTCGATGAGGCGCACACAAAGAAGGTATGAAATGGTCCTCTTGCCCTCCTGTGAGAGGAATGCCTGTGAGCATGGCATCATATATCTGTGCCTGTTGTTTCCTGCTGAGTGCATACAGTAAATGAACTACTATTTGACAATGCTGGCGAGTCTGGACACCTTCCAATAGTGCTTGAAAGTGATGACGTCAGAAGTCGACAAATAACGACTTCTGGATCCACTCTGCCCATAGCGAAGTACTACCGTATGTGTGGTGGAGAGGTCTCTCGTGTCGCACGCAATTTATGCATGGATCCATACAAAATGTGGATCCAAAGTCAGCATTGTCATGGCTTCTTGCTAGCCGTAACGTAGCACTTCCCAGCCCTATTTGTAGGAAGCCAACCTGACTAGTTAGGCTGTGTTTACAAGAGAATTTTCAACCCGGGTTGAGTTCACCCCGGGTTGAAAGTCTGTACGATAGACAAAATAGGTGAGCATGTACATGAAGGCAGTTTACCTGGGTCAAATATTGATATACCGCCAAAAGTCCACTTCTAGAGTCCTGTATGGTCACGTGAATACTTTCGCGCGAAATTTGCCTGTGCACTGCTATTCAAACCTGGCGCGAGATACGCATAGAAGTACGTTAGTACGATATTCTCAACCCGGGTTAATTTCAACCCTTCCCCAGAACCCGGGGCGAAATTTCAACCCGGGTCAAGCGCAATGCGTCATGTAAACGCGCCATTCATTTTGTGTACATGGCGGGTTGAAATCTGACCCGGGTTGAAACGCCTCCTGTAAACACATCCTTAGAAACATTGCCGTGCCTTCACGAAAATGTGTTCTCCCAGTTTTGGTATGAGGTATAAGCTCGTTGGGCATTGCCGAATATGGATTGCAGGAGTAATGCATGTGAGTATGCTGGGATCGGGGTACTTTTCAGGGATACATTGTTCAACACCCCCGGGTGGCTGCGTGAGGTGTTCGCGGTACAAATTACGTCATTGCACAATGGGCTTGTTGTTCTGCTCTACTGTTGTGCGGGGTTGCCCAGATCAAGGCGAAGATGGAAAGGGTGCGGATGATGCGAGAGACACACAAAACGTTAAGGTAAGCTGCGAACATCATTGACTTTTTCTTGTCCATTTTTCTTGTGCTGGTGTGTGAAGCTGTACTGTAGTCTGTTATTGGACTTGAGCCGCACTGTTTCCATGCAGTGCTTTGAGATTTCCAATAACTCGTATCTGTTTTCTGTTGCAGTTCAGTGAAAACATTGGGTTCCAGGGACGACGAAGATGACGATATCACGTCTTGGCTGACGAAATCGCGCAAATTGGACAAGGAGCGGCTGAAAGCAGAGAGAAGGGTAATTACTAGTATTGAGATGTGACGTCAATCCCCCTGCTTGTAGAATTACGGCTGTCACGGTGTGTCAATGCCGACACAGATCAACAGCTAGCGACCTAGTTACGGGCTGCTGTTCCGTTCACTCATTGTGTGTTTGCTCTGATTATGTATAATATACATAATCAGTGTGTGTGTGTGTGTGTGTGTAAGTGAGACTACATTATAGTCTCACTTACACACACACACACACACACACACACACACACACACACACACACACACACACACACACACACACACACACACACACACACACGCACACACACACACACACACCTGTATTATTATATAACAAGCAGTTGCATTTTAGAAGGTGCAAGGTTACGTTTGTCCAGCTTGACGATTACATGTTAAGGCTCTGTGTTGGTCGTTTTCTCTTTCCTCCCAGCAACGCGAGCTTGATGCTATGGATGAAGATTTTGGTGTTAGTGCCATGCTTGATGAAGAGATGAGTCAGAAGGACAAAAAACGGAAAGGCAAAGGAAATGAGGTGAGCCATCTTTTGGGGCACTCACACGATATCAAGTTCGCTGAAGCGCAAGTGGTTCACAATGTGCTTCATGATCTCGCCCAGCTTCTGAACTTTGCATCTCGCTACTGCATCACAGTGCTGTCAAGTGCTAGCAGACGCATTTTGCCTAGCTTTCATCGATGCACAGCGTATCTATGGTTGTTCACCGCTTGGGTTCCGAACTTTGCCAGGTCCACTCGGGATTTTTGTAGTAGCAATCCCGATTAAAATCGGATCAGATCTGGCTTGGAACTTGTTCATGTTGTCTGGATGTCATGGTTTGCTGTAGCTGAGCTGTGCCGTTTCTCATATTGTTAAATTTGTGTGGACAGAGCTACTCTTCGAAGCACCTCGGGGGACTGAAGGTCGAGCACGACGAAGGTGCATTCATGGTAAGCACTCAGCTAAAAGGGACCCACGGCTCAGCTGGGAGTCAATGGCACTAACACACCCGCCCACTAGCATCCAGGTGCAGGTGAAGCTATTTTCACGATCCTCAGGCAGCTGAAATCGATGAGTTCTTGGACAGCGTTGACTTCCATAGAGGGTGGTTTGGCTTGTCTATGAGCATGATTGAGAAACGAGAGGTACCAGGTTCCAGCAGTGCTTGGAGTGGACGTATTTTCGCAGCCCTGCTATGATCCACAGTGTGGTCTGGCACAACAGTACCATGGATGTCGCAAGTGCATACAAAGTGTTTTACACTTCCAATAGGTCTTGCCCTACCTGGTATGCAAATCCGTAATGTCTTTTTGTTACATTTTATTTTTTCCGGTCTTCCGTTGACCCTCGCTATGTTCGGAAAAGTTAGTTCTTTGCGGCTGTGTGCTGCGTGCATGATTGAAGTAAATCTCCAGTGCACTGTGTGTGTGTGTGTGTGTGTCTGTGCGTGTGTGCGTGTGTGTGTGTTCATACGTGGTATGGTATGAAGTAGGTGCGATTTTTTTGTCAAGATGTGTCGTTACTTTTAGTCAGCGCTGCTGCGTGTGCTGAAGACTCGAGTGAAGAGTCGTGCTTGTTTGTGTCTATATATTTGCCTTGTGTACCTAGGATGGAACAACCACAGTTCTAACCCTCAAAGACCAAGGTGAGTGCTAGCTGAGGACTTGTAAAAAGAAAAAGAAATTGAGTTCTGGGATCAATTGTACAGTACTGTAGGGTGCCGAAGATCGTTTTTGGGGGGGGGTGGGGGTGGGGGTCAGCATTGTGGCCTGGGCTGGATCAATTAATAAACCAGCTAACCAGCAAAGATAACATGGGTCTAAAGGCCGATTCATACTTCGTTTCGCGTACGGGAAACGCGTTGCGTCGCGAAAAAGTTCATCTGAGCTCGACTATTTCGCGTACGGGAAAGCCATCGTGCGACGGCCGCGCGATAACTTTCCCGTACGCGAAATGAAGTATGAATCGGCATTAATACTGTTTCATTCCAATTTCTTTGTTCTTCCATCCAGATGTTTTAGAGGACGGTGATGACATCTTGGTCAATGTCAACTTGCTAGATCTTGAGCGGGTAGGTGATGCTACACAAGCAGTTTTGCTGTGTCAACTTTGTGTGTGTGTGGTGTGTGTGTGTGTGTGTGTGTGTGCCTGTTGACTTTGCGATTTCTCTCTCTTCTCTTCTCTCTTCTTGTCCTTGTCTCCCGCTTCTGAGAGCGGCGTTTCCCGATAGGGTAGCTGTACATAGTAGTAATAGTAGTGTGTGTGTGTGTGTGTGTGTGTGTGTGTGTGTGTGTGTGTGTGTGTGTGTGTGTGTGGTGTCCCAGCACAAGTTGCTATGTATAACATAGCTGTTCGCTATCATCGCTTACGCGATGGGCATGTCTGAGGTGTGTGTGTGTGTGTGTGTGTGTGTGCTACTGGGTCCCATTGTGTGTTTGTGTGTGTGTGTGTGTGTGTGTGTGTGTGTGTGTGTGTGTGTGTGTGTGTCACTGTGTGTGTGTGTCACTGTGTGTGTGTGAGTGAGACAGAGAGGCAAAGAAAGAGAGGGAGAGAGCAATAGAGATTGAATATAAGCAGGTTTACATACATAATATATGCTTGAAGGGCTTGCAGAGTTTTTAGCTTTTCAGGTCATCACATGTCCGTATTCGTGCTGATGTGTTTCTCTCTCACAGGCAAAAAAGAACCAAGAGAACAAAAAACGAAAGCCAGAATATAGACCTTGGGAGGAGGAAGAGCTGGATGAAGATGGCATGGTACGTTGGAAGTGTTGTTGATGCATTATCTGGTTTTAGTTACCTCATTAGACTTTTTACGATAAAACTTGGATAAGAGGCCATCCAGCATTATGATAATTTCCACGGAACGAAAATGTTCTTGCTGATGCGGCACCAATCCCACATCATTACTTCGATGCTGTGCGATCATGACTGCAGAATTCATGCTATTTGTTACTGTTTTATAACCCTCGTTATTGATAATTTCAGCGAAAACATGAGAAGCTTGCAGTTTTTTATCTACCGCGCCTCGACACAGAAGATATTTTGAATTTAAATCATGACTGTCTTGGATTATTGTCTTTTTTGCAAGGTGAAAAGTACGAGTATGTGTGACCCCTTACTTTCCTTCTGTATTTCCTCCTTCTGTGTGTTTGCAGCCCATTAACAAAGCAGTACTTTCGAAGTACGATGAGGAGATTGAGGGAAAAGAAAAGAAATCCTTCACACTAAGTATGTGTATTGTGTTGTTCTGGCTAGTCTGTTGAGTAGTGTTCTGGCTTTGAGTAGTGTTCTGGCTTGGAGTAGTATTCTGGCTTGGAGTAGTATTCTGGCTTGGAGTAGTATTCTGGGTGCTCTGTGTGTTGGAGTAATATTCTGGGTACTAGTACTCTGTGTTGGAGTAGTGTTCTGGGTACTCTGTGTTGGAGTAGTGTTCTGGGTACTCTGTGTTGGAGTAGTGTTCTGGGTACTCTGCGTTGGAGTAGTGTTCTGGGTACTCTCTGTGTTGAAGTATTGTTCTGGCTGGGAGTATTGTTCCGGGTACTCTGTTTTGGAGTAGTGTTCTGGGCACTCTGTGTTAGAGTACTGTTCTGGCTTCTCTTTGTTGGAAGTCGTATCCTATCTACACTATGCTTTGGCTACACACTTGATTGATTCCTCTTTGATATCCATAGTGCATTGCCTTTTGGACAACTTTCACAGTAGCTTGGTGTGCCAATGTCCTGCTTGTCCCTGTGCTTGTTTGCGGCTATCCAGACACCAGCGGTGCAGCAGACCTGTCTGATAAGATGATGATGGACATGATCAAGAAGGACATGCAGGCGCGAGCGGTGAGTGTTGCTGCCTTTTTCTATGTTCCAGTTTCATCCTACATGTAGTGTGTGATGCGTTGCGAAGGCAAGGTATAGATTTGTTTTGTTTCTTCCCTCCAAGTTTCCTTGTGTTTTATTTCGATTTTTCTCCTGCTGTCCCTGTTTTCAATTATGCCTCCATGCACCTTGCTGTGTGTGTAGCAAACTCTGGATTACTCAAAGGGTGAGTTAGCACGAGAGTACTACACTAGTGAGGAGATGACAGCGTTCAAGAAGCCGAAGAAGAAGAGGAAAATGATGAAGAAGAAAATGCTCAAGGTGTGTATGAATACTGCTTCTTCCTTGTCGAATGCCGTTATGCTTCGCTGTCAGTGGTCCCGGCTTGAAAGCTGTGTACCGATCTCTTACACCACTGTTTCGCAAAGAGAATATGCGGAATTGCATGTACTACCGCTCTGATAAGGTGACAAAAGGGCCTAGAAGACTACTTCAACTAGGACCAAGGGATGTTATCTCCAGTCAAATGGCACTGGATAAGAAGACTGCATGTGTAAGGTCTCTTGAGCGGTCGGCTTATTGAGAGGCTTCACTGTACAGGCTTCCCATGCATGGTGTAAAGCAATTTGTATTAGCCACTGAGCAGGCAACTGGCCATGCGTCTTGTTCATGCGTTGTGTGGGGTGTCTTGTTTTACTGTTTAGCTTCCTGTGACACCAGAAGTACATTATATGTTAGCTGAGCAGCCACGAGTGTGCAACTCTAATAATTCTCTGGGCTTGCTTTGCGGTGCATGATCGTGATTACATAGCCCAAGACCAGTGGATGATGAACTGACCTTCATTGTTAGCAGCAACTGTCAATCACGTGTGGATTCTCGCCATTGGAGACCCCACGCACAGAATGTTACACTTGTGAGAGATTATTTGCTTTTGATGATAACCCCTGTGTTGTGCCATAGGCTGATGACCTGCTACGAATAGATCCAGACGAATCCGAGGCACCACCACAGCCTCCCAAGGACCGGCGCTCTTCTCGAAGGGAGGCACCGCCTTCGATCAAGAAAGAACCTGTGCGGGAAACGGCGGAGGAGTTGAAGCTGTCAGATGAAGAGGATGACGATTCAGAGTTACGCATTGCGCTCGCAAGGTATGTCTGTGTATGTGTGTGTGGGGGGGGGGGGGGGGCTTTCACCCGAACGCAATGTTAGGCATCGTACAGGTCATTTTTGCTCTGCTTCGACTTCGGTCTGCTGATATCCAGTGGGCTTGCATGCAGGACGCCCTCCGTTCTGGAGTGCTGCGTATATTTGCGTTATGGCTCAGGACAATCTCACGCCGTATACACGCTCATTCAGAGACTCACACCCACAAACTGACCTGTTGCTAATGAGATGATCTTTTGTGTTCTTCTGTCTATGAAGGACGCGGCGTTTGCGACAAATGGAGAGACGCAGATCCCCTTCGCCTGTCCAGGATGCCCAGGTGAGTGGAACAGGATAGCTGGCTTGATGCCATCCTTGGTCCGTCCCTTGGCTGTGAGGGTGCTTGTTCAGCACAGCCATCCTTGGTCCGTCCCTTGGCAGTGAAGGTGCTTGTTTAGCACAGGCATCCTTGGTCCGTCCCTTGGCAGTGAAGGTGCTTGTTTAGCACAGGCATCCTTGGTCCGTCCCTTGGCAGTGAGAGTGCTCGTTTAGCACATGGCGAGACCGTACTCTGCTTATTGGCACAAGCACGAACAGCTCGCGCGCAACATTTATTGATGGCGAGTTACCCTGGTGACAGCTTATTCTTTTCAATATTAGAAGCATATCAGTGTGAGCATGTTCATTTCAGTTTGTCCTGTGTTCCTGTGTGGACTTTTTCGTTTTTACACGTAGTATTCCTCTGATTTTCTCTTGCCATGACATGCAGGTCAAGATGGAGGATAGCAGTGATGAGGAAGAAAAGAGCGTCTCCTTTGCTGGTAGGGTTTTGGTTCTTTCGCTTTCATGCCAACTCGAGTTTTGCCTGAAATCGGATATCTCTAGCATGTGTGCATTGACTTTGTGAAGTCAAAAAAACCTGTCTTTTCTACCTTTCCCCAGAAGTCTTCTTTGTGAGAAGATAACTTTGCCGACCACTCCAAGCACAATAGACGAGGTAAAGTTCACAGGATCCTGTCTCGGTGGATACTGATTTTGTCAACCTACTTTTTTTTCCTTGTACCATGTCTACTGTGTTCATGCAGGTGCCATTATAAGTACAACATCTGAGTTCTGTCGCACTGTCGGCGCTGAAGACGCTTCTCCCAGTAAGTTTGGCAATTGCTGCTGGAACTGGTCATATTCCGTTCTCTCTGCTCTGCTTTTATTGCCCGTGTGAAAGGTTACATCGCAGTTGTGTACGTCGTGATTGTTTTGTTCTCTTTTCACCCAATCATTATATACGCCTGTCTGCCTGTTTGTTTAATGTGACTTGTTTTGTGCAGCCCATCGGCCAAGTCACTCCGTTTCTATGGAAGAAAGCGATGATGATAATGATGATATGGTGAGTTAGAATGAGCTTGCAAGCTGTTTCCTCTGTATGATGGAAACAATGCAAGTTGTTATGCAACCGATGATGATAACTTTTGCGCTCTTGCCACTTTGTATTGCCGCTGAGGCTGCACCGTGGTGAGCAAGTGCACAGAGGTTGCTGGTGGGGTTTGGGGATGCTGTGTGGTGGTTGCAAGTACCCGGGAAGAGATCTTGCTGTGGTGTGTGTGGCGTTGGTGTATTCTTTGGAATGGCGGACTGTCTCCACACTCCAGTTGGAAGGACCAGGTACTGTAGGTTTGGAGGCGCTCACAATGTGTAGTGCTACCATTGTGGGTGTCCTTCCGGCTCCCATGCGATTGCAGGGTTGAGCTGGTCCCGGACGGCAGCGTGCCGTGTGCCACTGAGGCTCAGTCCCAGTGCCCGCTTTCTTTTTCATTTGGTCCCATGCACGCACTTGGGCCGAGTACATGTGATACGCACATCATTGCTGTGCGTGTCACTCATGATTTCATACGTTTCTATGGCCAGTTTCATGGCTGAAAGCCCGGATTGTTTGAGCCTCCCGTTGAGACGCGCGGTTGAGATGCCGAATCCCCGGGGGTCGTGGTGTTGTATTTTTCAACACTGCGCGGTTCGATGCAGTTTCCGAACACATATCATTTCTTTTTTCTTTTGTTGTTGGCCTAGGATGATACGCTGCGCTGCTGGTGTCCATTGGGCATCTGTGCGTCGGCATTTTCTGAGGCTCTTTCTATCGTCTTGAACTGTGTGTCATGCACGCATACATTGCCGTGTGTTTTAGTGGTTTCTTTTTTTGGTGTGTGCGCTTTTGCTTGTTTATGGAAGGATATCGAAGAACCGGAGGAAGGTGCACCAGGTACAGCTGGTTGGAGTCAAGTGGACCCGCGACAAAAAAAGAAGGACAAGATTGAAGTAAAGCTTGAAGTAAGTAACTGTGTTTAGAAGACCATAGCTGTTTTGTCCTGATTTCTGTTAGCTTACAATCTTAGAAAAGGCCACTGTGAGTGACTGTCGATGATAACGCCTCTTTCACAGGCAAACAAAACACAAATGGCCATGGTGAAGGAGTACAGTCAACTTTGTGAATAACGACACTCGGCGGGGCATCAGAAAAGTGTCCTTATTCGCGAAGTGTCCTTATACCCGAAGTCCCATTTCAATGTCTGTGAACCCATATTTGTATAGTAAAGTTATGACATGCATATCGAAGTGAAGCTCTTTTCGTGCTCTATGTCAATGTGTACTTTATTTTCATATTGCAATTGAAAGGAACTATAAAGTCAGTATTCAAGGGAAGTAAATGGAAAAATAAGCTTTTTGGAGCCATCTACAGGGACGTGTACATGTATGATGATTAATGTACAAGCATGTACATTGTACATGACGTGTAGTTGTGTGGTCGTGCTGATCGATTCAACTATTTTGAAGCAAAAGAAAAGAAAGAAATTAGCCCCCCCCCCCCCCCCTCTGGCTGCATCTTCTTGCATGTGTTCCTTTATTCATCGCCATGGGCTCTGGTACTTCTGCATGACAGGTACTGGAAATACATGTGGCTGTCAAAAGCCCAGAAAATCGTTACTCAAGCAGTGAATTTGACCTCAGGGCACTAAAATCATGTCGCTATTCGCGAATTGTCGTTACTCAGATAGTCGTTATATCCCAAGTTAAATGTATACAGTTAGATGGGACTTTGCTCTGGGCATGGAAATTCTGTCGTTACTCGCGAATTGTCGTTATACCCACAGTCGTTATTAGCCCCCCCCCCCTGGCTGCATCTTATTGCGTATGTACCTTCATCGCCGTGGATTCTGGCACTTCTGCATGACTGGTACGTATTTCCTTGATTACCAGCCGCCCTTGAATAGGCGCCGCCAGCCACTAGTACTAAGGATAGTTTGATACAAGAGTGCATTCGAGTTTGTGATTTGCACGCACTTCTCACATGTACAAGATGACCTTCAAGTACAAAGTCATCTTACTTCACCTGCAGCTCTAATCCCTACCCTTCACACACTACACAGTCATTCCTTCGAAATTGAAAGATGCTCGTCCAGATTGGTGAAAACTCTCTCTAAATGACCTCACAATCGCTCGTAAACAATTCTCAAAGATCGAAAATGGAACCAGCCATTACCGAACATGCCACATCTGTGGGAATAGAATACAATAATCGAAAAACTGAAGTAAAGCACGCCATAGTGGGTTACTGTACAACGAAGAAAGCCAATGTCAGAGCTGTTATAACTGCGTTGATTGATATGATTACAAACTACAAGTTCCTAAAACGAACGGCAGTAAGGAACAAAAGAAAACTCACCAAGGAAAATGCAAAAAATCAAATTCACTCGACATCATCATCACCTTCTGCATCTTGCACTTCATCTTCTTCACCACTAATGTCTGCGTCAATCATATCCCGAGCGTCTTCCGCCATGCCGCCAGGCTTCGTGCGGTGGATACGGTTGGTGTCCGCTGCCGTTATTCCACAAGCGTCGAAACTGCGCACAATTGTTTCACTGGAAACTTGTTCCCATGCACAGATGGTTCAGGTCACCATCTTGAGCTTGGACGGCACCCTAGCGTTGCCGCGTGGAGTCAAATCGGTGCCTCGCTCCGGCTCTTGCAGCCACTCTTCGTACAACTCCCTGTAGCAAGCCTTGAATGGAGCATTCCATGAAACGTCGGCTGACTGGACCACTTTCCTCGGTAGTATAGTGGTAAGTATCTCCGCCTGTCACGCGGAAGACCCGGGTTCGATTCCCGGACGGGGAGCGAAATGTAGTCTAATAAGGGGACTACTTAACTATTATGTACAACTACTCGTTATACTACTCGTCTCAGAGCACGCGTAAGGCTGTTATAATGGTTATATTATCAAAGGAAAGACTGTACTATCACAAATGTTCTGGACTGGGAGAACACCACAGGGAGGACTGGAAGAAGCAGAAAGACGACTGAGAGAAGCACAAAGAGACTGGGAGAAGCAGAAAGACGACTGAGAGAACAACCCTGCGCACCGGGGATGATGCCAACAACGGTGTTGGTCGCACGCAGATTTCATTCACCTCGTCCATTGTGTGACACCAGAACGAATCCCAAACAAGGAAATTCGATGTCTCAAGCGCAGTAGCAGCTGGCTTCCATACATCGTCGACCCAGCGCAGTGTCGCCCAGCCGTTATCCGTCAGAACTATCACCACTCCGGCGATATCCTTCAACTCTCGCCGGGCGTTCGTTTTCCTTTGAACACGATTAGCGGCGGAAGTCGAGTGCCATCAGTGAAGGCTGCAAGACAGACGATAATGCACGACTTCTCGAGTCCGGTAGTCCGTACTGGCACGTGCTGAACCCCGCCGGGTAGTTCTACAGTGGTGCCTCCAGGCATATCGGCCCATAGCCCATGGCGGTTTCATCCATGTTCGCTATGTGAGCAGGCTGAAGCTCACTGTCCTCGCGAATATCGCGACACAACTTCACAAAGTGTGCTACTTTTAGCTGAGAGCTCCGGCCAATCTCTACTGCCCTTGAAATCGGGGTCGTTGGAGAGTTGCTTGGCGCGAAGCACTATGGCCTTACACGTGACGCGGAGAGTTTGTTCTCGTTGCTCACCGGTCAAGGCAATGCGCTCATTCTCCATCCCCGGCTGAGCGGACGCATGGCCACCGCCAGGTAACCTCTTCTTGGCTGCGGGCTTTTCCATTGCCTCCAGATCAGGTAGCTGTTTGCGCCATTCTCGAATTCGCTTTTCATCCACACCAATCTCTTGTGCCGCACCACGGTTTGTCGTCTCTTGACCATGCTTTGCTGTGCGGACTTTGAAAGCAACACTATACGATTTGAGCATACTGGATCGAAAGTGATCGACGAGAGAGCTCCGGAGTCTATCAGGTATTTGATACGGAAAGGCAATCACACTAATTATGACAAAATGGTAAGCTCTTGGATTGCTTTTTGTTGGCGAAATGGCGCTATAGCACAGACATTTTGGACTTGTTCAAATGCTTTTGTCGCGGCGTTGTGCGTTTTTACTTGCACACTAAAGTATGAGTATGTCGTACTCCACTTGTCGTGGGCCAAATTCTATGGCCCAAGTTGTATTGGTCTACTTTCTTCATTGTTTTCGTTCCGTTCACCGCGAGGAGAAACGCGAGTGTACACTAGTTTTACAGTCATGATAAAGTGCCCAAGCCCTGAGGTCCAAAAGTACACAGTCGTACATGAACTCGCCGCATACTCCGTATGGTCCATGAACACAGGGACCCCGGGCCTCGCCCGCATTGCTTGTTTCGAATACGGGCCGCGGCGTCTGTTCAAGGAAATACGATACTTGGAACATGTAGCTGTCAGAAGCCCAGAAAATCGTTACTCAAGCAGTGAATTTCACCCCGGGGCACTATAATCATGTCACTATTCGCGAATTGTCGGTATATCCGAAGTTAATTGTATACAGTTAGATGGGACGTTGCTCTGGGCATGGAAATTCTGTCGTTATTCGCGAATTGTTATATCAGCAGTCCTTATTAGCGAAGCTCTCTGTAGAACACAATTCAAATACTGAAAACAATTGCATGGAACGAAGAACGCGATAGGTAATTCACTGTTGATGATGATAATAATTATGGTGACTTTTATTGTGGTTGTGATGTTGTTGTTGTTGTTGTTGTTGTTGTTGTTGTTGTCTTCTTGTTTTGGCACAGCATGTTGATATTTTGGAGGCTGAGCCGATCGTGTCCAGCAGTTTAGCGGCCACTCTGCAGATGGCCGATCAGAAAGGTGAGAGCGCCATGCCACTAGGGAGGTTCTGCTCTATGTTATGGGAACGCGACGCAAAGAATCACGCGAACTCTTTTCGCGTTCCCGTAACGTAAAGAAATCCTGTTCTGCTCTACGTTCACGTAGAGAAGTCACGTGGAATGTTTACTGGGGATTTCCCCTTCCATATGTGGCAGTTTTCTGCCTGCACTCGAATGATACCCAGCAGATCCGTACGCATTTTCTTTGCGTGTGCCACAGCGTAGAGAACCTCATCTCCGCGTAGAAATCTGGCCCCAAAACACGCGAAGCCGTAGACTCTAACCCAGACACCTGCTCTCTACGTGATTTCTCTACGTTTCACGTATAGCTGAACCTTTCTACTGCCATTCTCCTGTACACTCATGTTGCTCTCGCCTCCAGCGGTGTACTACCTTAGTCTTGTGCTGAAATACCATGCTAATTATAAAACCCACCGCAGCAGTGGCGAGGCTTCCTGCAGCTTCAATCACAGGTTTTACTCTTTTAGGGCTCTAAAACCACTTCCCATGTTCCCCTACTTGAGCAAATGTGTGCATGACATGTGCCTGAACAGCTATGTTCGAATATACAACTACATTTTATGTGCTGAAAAGTCGCTTGCCAGCGTTGTAGCAGGACTGGAGCTGACTTCGAAGCCATGGTGGACAGGCTGTCCAAAAGACGACGGGAGACGTGCCGAGTCTGCTCCAGCACCGGTTTTCCTAAGAAGCAAGCTGTGATATGGCTGGCAGCAATGTAGATATGTTGTGTTGTAGCAAGAATCCATATCCAGGAGTGGACGAATCCTATGTAGAGCGGTAGAGGTTTAGTTAGTGCGTGTTTTGGCAGAAGTATGACCGTGTGCGTATGATTTTCCGCTCCTGTCTGGTAGGCTTGCAACTGTTCACCTCTCCGCACTGTGCTCTTGGCCCACATTCGTAACACTATAGCGAGGGAGTTTGTTCTTGTATGATGCTCCGTATCCTCCAGACAGCTGTTTCGTTCATCGAGCGCTCCTCAGTGGAGATAGATAACGAATGAATAGCAGTTAACCCTTTGCGTGCTGAGTACGAGTTAACTCGCACTTTATGCATGACCTGATCCACTACGTACGAGTTAACTCGCAAAAAAATTCGCGCGATATATCGCAATGCATAGACCAGTGTACAAACTTTCGTAACTTCGTCAAACATAAACGCACCGCGATAATCAATACACCGTTGGAAAGGTCTTGGCCTCATCTTTCTGGAGATATAAAGATCTTCACGATAGGATAAGAATTCATTGAGCGGCGACAAGATGAACACGGAAATCACGGCCCAGAGTGAACGCGAATTTTTTTCATGAATTCTTTTTGTTGAAGAGCGTGCCAGGGGATTTCCCTTTGGCACAGCGCATGCGTGATGGACATCAAATGAAGCGCTTGGATCTGAGCTTTGCAGCGCAGTTTGTGAAAATCTGTTGAATTTGGGCAAGAAGCCGAACAAGAATGTGAAATTGAGTTGTGGTGCCATTCCGAGGCACGGTGGAGTAGTTTGGAGAGGACGTGGAAGTGGCACTGATGTGTCTATGGAGCTGAGAGCTGCCAGGATGGATTCGCTTGGTCCTGACCTTTCCAACGAGCAAAGGACGATGAAAATCCATTAAGGTGGAGTGAAATGAGAATAAATTTCGTTCGGAGCTGTGAGTGCATACTCCACCAAGAGAGTCAGTGCGCTGGAAAGCCAGTGGATTGGAGAAAAGGGGCTCAGCATGCAAAGGGTTAAAGGAACTGAGGAGCTCTCAATGACCGAAACAGCTGTCTGGAGGATATGGAGCATCATCCAAGAACGAACTTACTCGCTATGGCGTTACGAATGTGGGCCAGGAGCACAGTGCGGAGAGGTGAACAGTTTCAACTTTTTCAAATGGCCGAGTTCGTCGCAGCTTCTGAGTTGTCTTGTAAATACACAGTTTATCAGGTGGCATCAGTTAGTCAAATGGCTGATGTCTTATAATAAAAAATTCCGCAGTGGGCTGTGGAATCATCGAGTTGCGGACCCTCTCTTTGTTGTGTACTCTTGATAGTAGTGAGGCAAATGAACGCTCCGTACATATCGAATATATACCCAGCACAGTGGGGATAGGATATAACGACCCCGAAAATAACGACAGATCAACTTTACTGACACTTTTTTGGTGACCGAAGACCTGAAAATTAGGAAACGATTGTGGGTTTCACATTAGTGGCTTGGGCATTAAGATAACGAATGGCTTAACAACGTATTTCAGAATTTCACAATCGCAAAGCCAAAAGTGGAAAAGAAATCGAAAACGTGATGAAAAAAAAAGATGTCAAATAACAAAAAAAACAGCTGCCGAAAACACTGCTTCGGATGGCACAGATGTGGTACTGTCTGACCAGTGGTGCAACGTCCGGGAACAGCTCGCTGTGGGTCCTCCACCGCTGCAGAACATCTGTCTCCAGCGACACTACCTCTTCAGTGAAGTAAACAGGCGCCCGAGCATATAGAATGTCGAGTTCCACCGGGTGCTCACATCTTGTATCAGCCGTTTGGTGGTGGAAGACTGGTTGATCTGCTGCTGCTTCTTCATCAGCAACTCTGAAGCAGTAGCAGAGTGCTTGAAGTGGCCTACGGCTTTCCTGGCAGCTGACAGCACCTTCTCCAGGCCCTTCGTCTTGTCAACTGCATGGCGGATGACAGTTTGAAGTCGATGCGCCATGCACACTTGACTGGTGCAACCTGCCTCATCTTCGCGCATCCTGCCTGCGGAGACCATGTTGGCCGCTTCGTCATGTGTCACTGCGATCAGCGCAGTCCTTGGAATACTCAACTCATTCAGCGTCTCACTGAAATGCTCCTCGAGGCGAACGCTTGTGTGCCTTCCGTGGAACAAAGACATCTGCAGCACAGCACTGACCAGAGTCTACTCGATTGTTATGAAATGGACCGTGTACGTAACTTAGCGTCGCGGAGGAAGTCCAACCGTCCGTCGTCACTGCGATGCCTTCTGCAGAAGCAGCGGTAATCAGTTCTACCAGTTCCTTCTTGGCGTCTGCATGACGCTTCTTGAGGGGGCTCGCAATATGCGTTCTACACGGGACCGAATAGCTTTACTCCATGAAGCTAATAGTGCGGACCAAGCCCGGATCTGCAATTGTCGACAGCGGCCGACACGAGTCTACGATCCAGTTCAGCAGGAGTTCCCTGACCTCTCCAGCTCGTACTGGTGAGCAGGGGCGGGACGCGGTGGGTGCGGAGCTCGAAAAGAATGAATGAATGGTCGAGTGCTACGACTTACTCGCCCGGCTTCCGATTCCGACGCAGCACTGCCAGTACTTTCCGAACTCTGCAGACTGACGTGCATGGAACATGGCTTTGTGACGTGCATGGAACATGGCTTTGTGACGTGCATGGAACATGGCTTTGTGACGTGCATGGAACATGGCTTTGTGACGTGCATGGAACATGGCTTTGTGACGTGCATGGAACATGGCTTTGTGACGTGCATGGAACATGGCTTTGTGACGTGCGTGGAACATGGCTTTGTGACGTGCATGGAACATGGCTTTGTGACGTGCATGGAACATGGCTTTGTGACGTGCATGGAACATGGCTTTGTGACGTGCATGGAACATGGCTTTGTGACGTGCATGGAACATGGCTTTGTGACGTGCGCGGACCGTGCTGTACACCGTACACTGTAAAGCAGAAGTACAATGTACATGCCGCATGGCAGCGGTGTAGTTTGCTGTGCTAGTGGTGGCGGAGGCACGCATCCAGTGAACCCGCAGTGATCCTACTGAGTCTGTATACCCATTACTGTATCTGATGATTCGTTTTATGTAATTGTGTTGATTCTTCACAAATGTGTTATGTTGCCCGTGCAAGAGGCTCAAGGAGTTCAAAAAAAAAAAGTGTAGTTGCCGTACATGGACTTTTGGGTTGAGCTATGCATGCATGATACATGTACATGCACATCTGCATTCCATGTGCATTACATGTACATGTAAATTATGCACATGCACATCAGCAATAAATTTCTGTCATCTTGAAAAACGTATCGCATACTAAGGGCGCGTTCGAATTGTCACTCTTTCACTTTTCGAGGAGTTTTGTTTTTCTAAAGAGCTGGCCTCCTCAGAAAAACGAAACTCCACAACCTCATCCGATGGGAGAGGTGGATAAGTTCCGAAGAGTTTGGAATAGCTACGTCGAGATGGTCGGACGTCATCGCCATGACAATTCCACTGCTTGAAAGTTTAGTTTCAACTCGTCAGTGTTTGCGATTGCCTAATCTTTGTTGTGCTGTTCTTCTGTGGAATTATTTGTTATGATTGCCGTAGCTGACCTGTTCTCTTGTGCGTTCCTATCATATTTACTGCTTGCTAGGTTTCCTCGAGCAGCAGAAGTCTAAAGATGAGCTGCGCAAGGGCGTAAGCCTCCAGCTCGTAGGGAGCGCAGCAGAAATGGATGCCAAGGCCCGCGACAGAGCCGGGTAAGATTCTCAGTATATGCCATTAACATTACGATTGTGTTTCTAATATCAACCATGAAACCACTGGGTGCATTCTAGTTGCTATCTCCTCAGTCTTGCTGCGAGTTTCTGGCATTTGCCTGTAGGGAATACGTAGATAAGTTGTGTTGTTTTGCATGTTTATTTTTTACTCTTTTTCTTTCATAATTTCCTCATTGTTTCATGACATATCCGTTGTACGGGAACCTGTGCATGTATCATGGACCCTTTTCACATCATGTTTGCTCGTGTCCTGTGTTGCCTTTCCGGTGTTTCCCAGGGAGCTGAGAGATAGGGAGCGAGAGAGAGAGCGGAGGGAGCGAGACAGGGAGCATGATCGTGATAGGCACTATGACCGAGATCGAGAAAGGTTAGTGACTGTCCACACGGTGCAGAGAGCCTTATGCCCCAACCAAATATAACATTGTTTAGGGCTGGCTGACCGGGTCATTTTTCCCCTGATTCTGAAACCTTTTTGGTCCGCACATTTGTACGACGGGTGCCTGAGGAGCCTGTAGGTAGCTGGCGAACCGCTCGTTTGCATCGTGCATGCATGCGCATGCATATATCCAGTACTAGACATCTAGGCTGTAAGGTGTACACAGTCAGTCAACTGTGATATTAATCTATACCATGAGAATATTATGCATGTGCATCAAGTACTGAAGTACTACATGATTGTAAATGACGTACATTCATGTTTATGCTTTTGTCCGTCGTATATCCTTATGTAAGCATCAGGATCATTGATACATTACAACCAAAAAATTGTTCAGAAAGGTTTTTCCCGGCCGACCCGAAACTAGCTTGTTTTGGTTTTCGGTCTTATTGCAAACCAATTTCTTGTTCTTGGTCAACTCCCTTTAGAGCCCTTGTCTGTGTCACTGGTGTGTATCAGGCGAATCACATCCTTGTTTTTGCTGCACAGCCGAGCCTGCGAAATGTCGTTACAAAGGATATCATTGTCCTCATTTTGGAGGTTTTAACATGCAGGTGTGTGTCTCTGGTGGACTGTTGAAATGTTTCCTCTATTCCCAGGTGTCCTTTAGGGCCACTGTACTTTCCCGGCCTGTAGGCATCATGTGTGCGCCTACTGTGACGTTTGTTTGTTGCCCATCTTCTCCTTACTCTCTTGTAGGAATCCTCTGGAGAAACCCGGTTATAAGCCAAAAGTCAAACTGGAGTACTCTGATAACAGTGGTCGTCTCCTTGACGAGAAGGAGGTAAGAACCCCGTAAATATCTTCCATGATTGTTGTGCTATTTGCCACTCTTTTCTTGCGGAGTAGAATGATCTCTCGATCTTAGCATGTGCCAAGCTGTTTCTCCCTTCTGGTTTCAGCATCTCCGGCCCGTACTCTGACATAGATCTCCCTTTGCAATCCTTGTAGTGAGAGCTGAAGAGACGTTTTCCTTATCATCTCTTCTGCCCTTGTCAGCCTGGTGAACGTTCTTGGGCTGTCTTTTGCGAATAGCATGGTCTGTGGTTCGAGTCCCGGTGGCATGACTGATGAGTTCTTCTTTCTTTCGTATCTCGCTTGCAAATGTGGAGTTTCGGAAGAAGAGAGAAACAGCATCAGGCATGTGGCATAGTTTCCTAATTTTCTTTTGTGTCTTGCCACGTATGTCTTAGGCATTCCGCCAGCTCTCTTGGAGGTTCCATGGCAAGACGTCTGGCAAGGCAAAGACTGAGAAAAGGAGGAAGAAACTGGACGAGGAAAAGGTATGGCTCTGCTAGATCACTTAGGATGCGTCCTTTCCCTGCTGTCGCTTAGCTGTCTGGCACATACTTTTTTTTTCAGTGTTGCAACGAATAGCAAAATCACGAACGAGTATTCTAACGACTATGCACAGTACGAACGAACGTGTATTCTACTATTCTACCCATACCGACGAGACCATTTCAGCACACTATGCTTCCTTGTTTATTTTAGAGTTTTCTTACTCTTCTTTATATACAGTCAGACCTCGCATAACTGCACACATCCGTTTTCCACAAAAATATCCGGATAGGCGAGGGAACCAGATAATCGAACACACATACTGTGTGTATGCATGGCATATGCTGTAAATCGATAACCAACGATTTTCTTCCGGATGGCGAGGGATCCGGATGAAAGAGGGCCGGATAAGCGAGGTCTGACTGTACTGCAGCCAGACAACGTAGAATAAACATTGATCACTCTCACTGGAAATTAGACTTGTGGAATAAATAAAGAAATAAATAAATACTGGCACGAGCAAGAAAGAAGAATATACTGATAAGATACCAGTACCAAGAAAGGAAGGAAGGAGCTGCAAGTTGAGAGACTTGCGAGCAGGATTGTGGCCCTCATTCCTTATCTCTATCAACTGAGTCCGCTGAAGTAGCAACGTCTGGCAAGTTGACGAACGGCAAACCAGTAGTTATGGCGCTAGTACCGTTTCTGGACATGATCGTTTGAAGACGGCGGCCGTTCTTGTTAATGAAGAGCATGGCGTTGATACAATGGCTGCTCAAATCGGCTCAAGCCAGTAGCTGAAAAGCTTTGCTCAGACTCTGCTGACGAAGCTGGTACACAGAAGACACTTTTCGCGAGGCTGACGACATCAGGGAATGTTTCCGAGTAGCTCTGCCACCAGACCAGGTGATCGCTATCGATGTGGCAAGCGTCATCGTCCAGAAACACACAAAGTTGCTCTGCTGGTGTCAACTAGATAGGAACTGGGGCTGACTGCTGGCTACCTAAATTACCAGCAAGACGACTAAGCAGCGGTTGCTCCTTGCGCTGCACAGCTGCTCGCGACTCACATGCTGCCGGAGATTAGCAACGCCTCTTTGCTGGTGGCTCCAGCACAGTGCAGCACTCATCCGATTCATCATCAGATTCTGCTTGATCCGTAGAATCAGCATTCTCAACAGTAACAGTAAGAATGTCCTTGATGTTGTCGGTCACCTCTTGCCTGCAGTCTTCGTCAAGGAACAGTAGGGACTTGAATCTCAGATCCAAAGCAGCCGCTATCACCTCGCATGATGATACCTTGACAGGAGAAAGGTGAAATTTTGATTTCAACTCTGTCCGCAACTTGTTACGCACATTGCTGATGAACGACGTCTACATTTCCTTGTGAGTGCACTGCTCCAGGGGGCCGAACATCGGAGGCCGAACATCACGGGCTGTACTGTCGAAATCGACACTTTGCTGGATGTCGAAAGGCTGGTTGTCACTGCTTTGAAAGGCTCAAATAGTTCAGCCAGTGCTTCCGCCTGATTCCATTTATCCGTGTCCAGGTTGGGGCTCTGATCCGATGCTTTTGTGATGGATGTGTCATTGAGGACTCCTGCAATCGGCTCACACAGCTTCACCAGGCGAGCTAGAATGTCACAAGTGTAATTCCATCTGGTCGCCACTTCCGATACAAGTGTCAGTGTTCTGGACATGCTCTCCTGCACCTGGTGCTCACGTAGAGCATGGGAAGCTACATTGCTGTGATTGGCGTGCCCAACTGGTTTTCTGCACTGGGCCAGTAGCTTGGAGATAGCAGACATGTCAAGGGTATGTCTAATGGCAGTTTGAAGTCCGTGGCATGCACAGGCTACAGTGTACATGCCTGGCAAACACTTCTCCAGCTTGCGACCTGCAGCCACTGTATTGGCTGCCTGGTCGCTGACAATACCAGTCGGCTTCTTGTTACGGATGCTGAGTCGCTGTAAGGGTGCCAGAGTTTGCTGCACTACATGAATCGCTGTGACGCTCAGGAAAAGGTGGCGTGTCCAACACAACACTGCGGAGTTTCCAGTCGATGAAGTGACCTGTGTACGTTGCACACGAAACACTCCTTGACGAAGACCACATGTCAGGAGTGACGGCTATTCCGTCGATGCGATTCAAGACTTGAACCAGCTGCTGCCGCAGCAGTTCGTGCCGACGTCCAATGATCGCGAACATGTTCGTTCGACTCAGGACTTTATGCGCGGGTTCAAGCAGTTTCAGGAGCTCGACAAACCCCAGATCGGTAACGATTGACGCGGGACGCAGGGAGTCAGTCACCCACTCAGCTAAACGGCTCGTAATATCCGCCTTCCGCTTCTCGGTAATCGTTCGGCCACCCAATAATTGGGACATCACAACGGAACTTTTTTGCCGCAGTTTGCCGTTGCTGACTTGTCGATGGTGCCGGCTGTGCAAGCGCTGCAAGAGCCCATGCATTGACCTTGTTGTTGAGCCATTTTATTTTAGCAACTTTTACAGAGCTTACATTTGACGTTCGTGCTGTCGCTCACTTTCTCAAAACTCTCCCACACGGAGCTAGCTTTACAATCCGACATCACGAATTTCTACTGACTCGAAACTAAGGGTGCGTTTGGTTGGTACGATCTAGAACAGGATCGAACAGCTGGTGCACATGGAGCAGCCTCATGCCAACCAAACGGTACTCCAGAAACAGAGCACATTTTTGTGGAAAAATGTGCCAAACTTGGTGCATTCTTCAAAATGTGTATGGGTCACCATGGTCACTTAGTACGGTACGACGAGTCCAACCCAAAAGCGTATGCACGTGATCATTTGGGAACAAAATCGATGTTCCCGCCAGGTTTCACTGTGAAAAAGTGAAACTGCTCGGTCTGCTCCGGCCTCGAGGCCGGAGCAAGCAGAACATGTTCTGGCCGACCCAGAACAGGTGCAGTCCCAACCAAACGCGCTGTTCTGGTGAATCCTGTTCTAGTTCGTACCAACCAAACGCGCCCTAAGCAAAGCAGACTGATGCGATCTGAAACTAACCAGGAACTGCTGCAAACTACGGAGAAGAATAGAAGTATTTCTTGCGCAGGTGCAAGTTACAAACGGCGAGTAAGTCGAACTGGTCAGAAGCAGCGGCAAACGACGATACGACGACGATGCAGTTTGTTGTCCACTTGCAGTGACTGTTGCACATTCTACGATGCAAGAACACAGCGAGCGAGCTGCGACGAGCGGATTCAGTCTCTGTACTGAAAGTTGTACACGAAGTGTAGCATTTCGAATATTCGACTTCTGACTCACATGTTCGAATTCGGTTCAGCTCGAAAAATATTCGATTACCGAGTATTCGATTATTCGTTGCAGCACTTTTTTTTCCGGTTGTTTTTCTAGTTAGATGCAATGCGGTATATCCTTACAATATGCTACTCTTTCCCCACTTGCTGTTGTTCTCTCTGCTGTAGAAAATGTTGAAGATGAGCTCGACTGATACACCGCTTGCGACCCGAGCTCTTCTCGAGGACAAGCTGAAGGAAACCAGCTCGCCGTTCCTGGTTCTCAGTGGCAGTGCGCAGCGCTCCTTGACTGCGTACGTCTTTCTCTTGTCTTGTTGTACTAATGAACACAATCATGTTGACACAGAGACTATTATAGAGAACGCAAAAGTAATAGATGACACCTAAACACTGCGAAGATAATCATTATTTTATCATTAAATTTGTCAATTACTCAATCTACGGGCAACACTGTTTCGTCCTTTGTGGACTCATCAGTGCAGCACGGAGGAAATGAGGCCAAACCTGATAGCGATAAAAAAAATTTCCAAAGCCAGATTTAAATCAAACCCGAGCGTACCTCGCTTGCCAGAGTGCTCAAACTGCCAAGTCAGTGAGCTCTGCACAACGCAAACAGCAAAGGCACTACCCCACACAAGAGTGCTCAACTGCTACAAGAGCAGAGCATTTGGCAACTATCACTTTAGCGTTCTCTATTATAGTCTCTAGGTCAACATTTGTTCATTAGTGCAGCATAGCTTCCTGAGTAGAGTTTTGTATTGTTCTTCATTCTTTTACACCTTTTTTCAAACAAAACGAGTAAAGTGATTAATCATGCTGGGATACCTACAGTAGCTGTACCATGATTTTTATGCTGGAATTCATTTTTGGAAATGTGGGGAGGATTGGATCCAGTAGAGTGGTCTTTGGGCTTTTTGCAGCTTGATATGTAGAGAATAGAATCCGGGCGGCCCCAGCGATTCCGCTGGAAATCTGATCCAGTTCCATTAACATAGAAGAAATCACATGGAGTTATGAAGCAACTATCCACTACTGTAATAAGATAATAAGCAGTCAGAAACGGTGCAATGACAGGGTACAAAACTGACAGGCTACTGAGACATTCGACGACCTAGCTCTAACACATCTCCAGTGCGCAAACCAACAGCCTTCCGGCTTGGAAGATTCAATGTTATGGTAGGACCAATGAGGGGAAGGCGAGTGCAGCGAAAATATGCACAAGCTAAGTCCCACGGCTCGGTATCAGAGTTAAAGTTCCATTAACGCTCATCGTTACGCCACAGGAGGATTGGGTAGTATTTTTAATCTTAAACTGTATAGTGGTATGTGGAGGACTTCATGTGTGCTTGTAGTCAGTTACAGCTGTCTACGGCAACCATGTATAGTAGTGTCATTGGATGAATATCTTCTCGAGATCTGTAGGCTGTGAAAGCACTGTGTTTCAATGTGACCGCTTTCCTCTTTTTTTGGTCTTGATCGGTTGCATTGTTGTCAACTGATCAACTGTGTACCGGTGTTTGTTTGTCTCCATACCTTTCTGCAGGAACACCATAACGAAAACCTAACTTCAAACTGTGAATATTGCGTATTGCGTTGCACAGCTGGCTGTGCTTCACTTTATCATCATTGTATATAGATACTGCAGCAGTCATGTCTGCCATTTACCTGTTGTACATAATGTTCTCCTTTCTTCTCCATGTCATCAAATAGTTCATAACCAAGAGTGTGTAGCTGTATTCAAGGGCCAGTATGTGTGTGTGTGTGCAGGCTGCTGCCTTAATTCCATAATTATATTGTCTGCCTCAAACCCTGTGCCCAGAGTACACAACCCGGCAAGAGTGTGCAACTCCCGCATACCCTGCTGTTCCGGCAGAATTTTATGTTGACGTCATTTTTCTGATGCAATGCTCCATGCACAATGGGACTTGGGTTGGAGGATCGTCGAGTTGCACAGTATGCACACTCTTGATTATGTACTCTTGATGCTAGCACACCCATTTTGCTTGATTCAGCCCAGCGCTTGCATGGGTGCGACATTTTCAGTTAAGTCCAAAAGTCACTTTCAGACTGTTCGGAAAGTATGCGTTGGTTGTAGAGAGCTAGTTGCACATAACCCCATCTCTCTACTTCCTTCTCTCTCTCGCTCTCTCTCTCTCTCTCTCTCTCTCTCTCTCTCTCTCTCTCTCTCTCTCTCTCTCTCTCTCTCTCTCTCTCGCTCTCCCTCCCTGTGGTTGACTGTTGGAGAGGTGAAGTTTAGACTCCGCTCTGGTCTCTTTGTATTCTTGCTTACGGTGCACACACGTGGTCAGGTGGGAGTTATAATTGGGACCAAGAGTATGGCTGAACTCTTGCAGGGACATCGCTTTACAGTCGCGTGTCACATATCGCGCATTCAGTTTGTTTGTTTTACTATTGAGTATTGATCAAGAGGGGCAAGTAGCAGCATTCGGCCTTGTCCAGATACTTATCAACCACCACACCACACCGCTGCGCTCTCCTTCCGACCTCAACACGTTGCCACAGCACACGATCAGCAAAACGACACTTCAGTTGGTACTCTGCTCCTTCAGACAGTAGCTGTTTCGATTATCAGGATCTCGTCAGTGAAGGTTGATAATGTAGAATGGCTAACAGATAGTGAACTAAACCCTTTTGTAGCAAAAAGGGGGAAACATAATGGCGCGTCTTAGGCGCAAAAAGGGGGGAAACATAATGGCGCATCTTAGGCGCGAAGATTAAGGCTAAGGGCCGGGTTCCACTGCGGCTCCGCTGCTCCGCGGCACTTGGCCAGTGGCGGATCCAGGGGGGGGGGGGGGGGGGGTTCGTTCGGAAAAAGCTCACTTTGCCGAAAATATTTTTCGGATGAATTTTCTTGTAGAAGAGCGCTAGCGCGTGATTTATTCAAAGAGGTTTCTTATCTCGGCATCGCTTCGCAGGCGTCTTGGGCGCATCAGCATCGCCAGCTACTTCTGATTGCTCCTCTCCACTGCCATGCCTGTCTACTCTCTATTGCCTGGAGTGTCCTCACCGTCATCTGTGTGGCTGAAAAGACTATGGCGATACGCATAAAATTTGACTTGGCCATGGAGTTGGTTTTTCTGAGGCGACTGAGGAGGCAGGTTTGTATGTATGTATGTATACTTTATTTGAATTCGCATATCCAAACGAGCACAAATGCTCAATGACAAGGCAGCGAATATGTTATTATGTTACAGGGAAGGAGGGTTGGGGAGAAAATAAGGAGAACAAAGAGAGAATGGTAGATATCTCAATGAAGAGCGAAGCGTTATCAAACTACAAGTAAGCCAGCGAACGATAAGTCGATAGTTCTGTAACCCGCCTAATAAACTAAGTACTTTTTTCAGGCGTGCAGTGGACTGTCATTAAAACAGAAACAGAAAAATAATAATAAGGCACCCATTTTGTTTGTCCAGGGGATGGCCCACGCCTGGTAAAGAGAATAAAATAGAGAAAATAAAATAAAAAATAAAATAAAAAACAAACGAACAAAGTACTAACAGTTACTGCTAACGAGAGTACCGGTACTTGCTACTAACATCGGGAGGATGAAAGGCCCAACCCTGCCCTGCCAGTTACGGACTTACGGGGGTCGCCATGGCAAATAATAATGGTAAACAGTGAAAATCAATCGGTTTGGCCCTCGACTCTTTGGGCGATCAAAGTTCGTTGGAATCAGCAAGAAAGGGAGCACGGGACAGGACGTTGCTGATGCTGGGGCTCACGAAATGAAAACACATCATTTCGGACTTGCAAAACAAACGTTGGAGCGAAAATTCGACATTTTGATGTTCGACACATGACCGAAGCTGCGAAGAACGCCGAACCGAAATTCGGAATGCAAAACCTCACTAATGACTACAGACAGTGCACTGCATGCGCGTGCGGTGAATCTGTACGTACATGGATAGTAGTCTGTACTGGTGTTCACGTCCGTGATTTACAAACGGACACTGTAGACAGGTTGTTTCCTTTTTGATCTTTCGAAACGATCCAAACTTACCTCCATTGGCGCTGTCATTCACTGCTGCTCAGGATGGGTGTGGTGTGGTCAGTATTCCTTGGACAAGTTTTTTGCAGAAGAGAAAGGATGTTCCGAGTACTGACACTCTTCAACGAACTTCGAACCGTACACGTAGAGTTCAAGCTCCTCAGAAGATGAGGGCTCCGACATCCAAGCAAAGTCAGTAATCTCTACTTGCTGCAGCATGCAGTAGTGACTAGTTGTTCCTCCGCAGGAACGGAGTGCTGCGCCAGCGATGTGTTTTGGATGACATTGGAAGGATTGTAAAATTGTCGACACTGTTTCGCTGTTGTTGTTTCTGTCACTGAAGTGAAGACGATGCTCTTGTCCTGTGACTATAGAGCATTTCGCATCGTAAAAATGCCAAAAAATTTCCGAAAGTACAAATGGACAGGGAAAGTAACTTATTGTTGTAGTTGTCATTTCGGCATTCCTGGCTCTCAACGTACCCATGGCTTGCATATTCGATCTTTACAAGAAGTAACAGTTGAAAGGGTCTTCAAGCCCTCACTGAACCTGTGTGCCAGTCGATTGCATACATGTATATGATTATGTGTCGGTATTAAAATAATATACAATGTATGGTAAGCAGCAGCATTTGGCCCTGTACAGGTTTTCCATCGTCCCCCACACCACAACTGCGCTCCGACTCAGTCTCCAGCGATGGTGGTGTGCTGTGGCAACGACTTAAAGGGAACCTGAACGCCAAAAATAAGTATGGCTTATCCGAAGGAGAATTGGGCACTGATTCCGATGAGCTATGTCTCGAGCCGATCAGAGAAGAGGAACCGTGTCAAATTTCATAAATAACACCTTCCATATTTGGAAAATGGGCTTGATGACGTGCGTACTGCTTAGCTGTCACCATGCTGTGCATGCTCAGCAGTGTAATTGAATGGAAGAAAACAATTACTTTGGTGTTTTGCAGCTCTATTTCGTTCCCTGACGGTACCCAAATCTAGATGTAGGAATCTGTTGAGCAGGAGAGTGACACATGTCTTCCCGAAGGCTGTCCAGCCTGCAGTGCTGATGAAGAAGACACGAATAACACCCCAAGATCGATTGTAGCGAATTGAAAAACTCATGGTGAACTTGATTTGCTTCCACTCCAAGGCAATGTCGAGGTATGAAGGGTGCTTGTACTGCCTTCCAAAGTGAAGCGGAGATGAACATGGCTTTGCATAGCTGTTGTTCTACGCCAACTTACCTACTCTTGCTGGTACCGTAGTGGTATATTGCAAATTTCGTGGACGAACAATTTGAGTCACTAGTGGAACCTGTATTGAGTAACTGAGTTTTATGTTTCGTTACATTGTCGTCAGATCTCCTGTGTACCGGTTTTGTGGCACAATGATTATAGCCATTATATTTGGTCGTCTCCATTCTTGTGCAATCATGCATATGTAGGTTGGTTCTCTTCATGTTATTGTGACCAATTTCATAGATGTTGGTTGCCTTGTTGCTTTCTCTCCCCACTCCTCTCACCCAAGCCATTCTGCATAAGCGAAGCTGTGGACGCAGCATACTGCTGCTACACTTCAACGCGGGAATGCGTATAATAATAATAATAATAATAATAATAATAATAATAATAATAATAATAATAATAATAATAATAATAATAATAATAATAATAATTATGATGGTGATAAAAGGCCTCTTTTACGGGCAAACAGAACACAATTGACAGTGGCATGGCGAATGATTAGAACACAACACCAAAAAATGAAAACAATTGTATGTGTGAAAAAACGCAAAAACGAGAAACAAAAAAACAAAAAACAAAAAACAAAAAAAAACAAAAACACCAAAAACAAAAACAAACAAAAAAACAAACAAAAAACAAAAACCAGGAAAATACAAGGGCACTGTCCTGCCCACCATCGTCTCCAAAACCTCACAGCCGGCCCTCCGAGATTGCCAACTCTCGCAATGCATTCACAGGACGGTGATATGACGTTATGATGGTGATGGTGATTTTTTTTTTTTTTTTTTTTTGATGTGGTTATAGGGAAGGCCTCTTTTACGGGCAAAGCAAAGCACAATCATCACCATGTATCAGTACAGTGAGTAGTTAAACCCAACACGAATGAAAAATGTGAAATGGAATAAAAACAATATTTGTAAAAAATAAATAAATTAAAATTAAAATTCAATATCGAACACGAATAAAATAAAATACACAATATGTAAAAAATAAACCATATCGAACACGGAATTAATTCCGGAACTATCTACTCAACCAATTCATAATGCAATACCCGCACACTGCGTCAGTGATGGAACTCCGCTACCCGATCAACATGCAGAGACCACTCAATCACATGCTTAGATTTAGTTAGAGGCCGCTCTCCACAATGGCCAACTCCCTCATCGCATTAACTGGACGATGGTAGGCCGAACGTGCACCGCGAATGCACATTATGGCTGCCCTGAGCAAAGCGAAGGACAAGCGACACCGCACATAGGCCATTAGCTGGGCATACGGTCGATCGGCAGTTGCCAGCAATGCACACAACCGCTTAATGAATGCAGTACACTCCGGAGCACAACAACCCGCCGTGGTGATGGTGATGATGATGATGATGATGATGATGATGATGATGATTTTTTTTTTTTTTTTTTTTTTTTTTTTTTGATGATGATGATGAAGCCACTTCTTTGGGCAAACAAAACACAATTTCCCAAGATGAA